ACGACCGCAAAATTAATACTCACTTAGCTCACGTAAGCCCCAGATGCAGGTCTTCTTTGAGCCCTTTATTCCTGCCGCCGCCATTACCTCAGATAAGTCCGCCCCACATATCACCCATTAGAATTTACTATGGATATTGTCTACTTACTGAGAAAAATATATGAAATTTTCGTCTTCTCTAAGTCAGAATCATCTCATACCATTGAATTCCCCCCGAACAAATCGATTCGATAGAAATTAAATAAGTTTTGACACTATGATATTATTCAAAGTTGGTTTTATTTGTATATAAAAAGAAAACAAGTAAAACATGAAATGGATAGTTTACCTATTATAATAAAAGAAACATTGTTCCGTACATTTAGGTACGACCAAATGCTAATGTTACATTTCACTGATATGTAATATGTAAAGAAAAAGATTATTTACAAGCAGTAAAAACACTTATTGTAAATTTCAACTAAAAAGTAGTATATCGCTTAGGGAAGCAAGATCGAGTAGCTCTCCCAAGAATAAGGAGCGAAAAATAAAGCTAAAAATATCGCGATTCACACATACAATTTATCGTTGGCTTGCTTTATGGCGTCATACTGTGCTAAAGCTTTATTCAAGAGTCCCATTGTTATACCGTTGCGTACGTAATGTGTATGTACTCCTAAGCGTGATACATCAGCAATGTTAAAACTCATATCGTCGAAAAACACCATCTCATCGTATTCAAAGCCAGACCTCTTCTTCAGCCTAAAAGTTGAGAATTTCAAATAGGCGTTATCATTAAATTTCAAATAACGTAATGAGTCAATCGGAATGTTAGTAAGCACAACAAAAAATTCTTAGACGTATTGGACCTTTCTCCCAATCCTGTTACACTTTCAATACATGCTTCTAACTGGATAGTTTTGCGCTAAAGCAGTCCCGGAATCTCTAGAACCATAACAAATTTACGGGAATGGGCGTAAAAGTAGACACATTAGGCGTTCTCCAGATACAGTCTTTAATAGACAATTTGCCCATGAACTGTGAATTTTAAATCTCCATCTTAAGATTTGACCTGTGCTTGCCATTAGAATTATCTTAAATCATATCAGGCCAGAAACATCTTGGGTGCTTAACTATCAGCATCCTCTAAAAATGTAGCCAACTCTCTGACGCTCCTAGCCTCTTCTTTGCACCGCCATAACATGAATCTTCGTTACTTTTCCCGCGCAGACCGTAAACCTGTTGTACCAGCAGCACGGCCCAACCGATTGGCCTTCAAAGATCCAACTTGCTACCGGGCGGATTCTAGTAAAGAGCAGCAATTCAAATCACGAGATCCCGCCTTCCACACTAGTGGCGTATGAAGTTTCAGCAGCACCCGCCAGTTATGGTAATTCAAAGCTCGACTGTTCATGACCATAACTAATCACGCCCAGCTCTTAAGTCTCCGGCAAACGTTGAATTACATTGAATTACACGATTTCCAAAGACATATAGTATATCCCTCACCTTAGTCCGTTTTCGTTAAAGAAACAATGATTTGGCCGAGTTCAGTTTAGTGATCAATTTGATATTCCATTTCATTTTGTTTAGTCTTTCATTTTCTTCATTGATTGGATTCTTACTGAAGTCAGATATTCCTTCGTTTGTCAATAGATGTACCTCTACGCTAT